CCCCCCCAGTCGCCGAGGGTCTTCGCCGCCGTGACATTGACCAGTTATCATTTCATCCTCCATCCATTCCATTGCCATTCAACCATCGTTGCCAACTAGCTGATCGTCAAAGCTACTTTCTCGTTGTGAGGGGAAGTCTACATCAAATTAAATTGAAAAGTGTCCGGTTAAATTCTATACCTGTGTCTCTCACCCCCATTGTTTCTCGGCGCAATCAGCGCTCCTCCTGTTTCTCGACGTAATTGATCCCACGGCCCTCCCGCGGGAGGCGGCGACTTCGGACCATGACCCGCGCTTCAACGCCTCCGTTGCTGCTTCAACTCCAGACAGCAGATTCCCTACCAGCACAGGCGGCGGCTTTGCGAAGCTTAAAGAATGAGACCATAGGCCATAACCAACGGAAAGAGGCCTGGGTGCGGTGGGGGATCATCCCCGTACTAGCCAATATTCTCGCAGCCCGCCATGGCAAGGATATTGTTACACCAGAAGTCAACGGAGCCGCGAAGCTTCGTTGTCCTCAGTCCGAGGAAGATGAGACATGCTTACAAGCGATCGTCATCATGGGGAGCTTAGCACAAGGTACTGGTATTCCGAGACTGTTGCATGCAGTGACTGATTTGGTCTCGACACAGGCGGTGCCTCTTTTCTGTCCCCTATCCTTGCCAGCGGCATACTCTCGACCCTCCTATCCATACTGTCCAAGCCTGACTGCCCGACTTTCTATATTCATCCGATACTTCGAACATTGAATAACGTTGCCGACCGACTACCGCTACAAAGCCAACAACGATCTTTTAAAGATACCCGCTTGGCCGATCTCGTCTTCTCCAGCGAGTATATTGGTTGCTTCTCTCGCATCCTAGGTCGCGACTACGGCAACCACCGCGATCAAGCAGCAATTGAGCTCGCCGCATCCCTCATCGGGAAGTTGTGTACGGAGGAATCTCACAAGGCGGTCTTGGCTGAGTGCGGAGTACTGGATGCCTTGGCGGTAAAAGTTGCCTCGTTCGTGGTCGCGCAGGGGTTTGTCTATCCTGGTGCCGAGGAGCATGTTCAAGAGCCTGGAGCTCTGGGGTCCCTACCGCCCCCGGCACCCCCGGGCGCAAAACTGGCGCCTATCCTCCGCGCTGTTACCGTCATTGTGGAGCATTCTAAGTGGCGCGCGGAGCATTTTCTCTCTTCGCCGGGGATCGTGACTGTGTTCCCCAAGCAATTGGCCGAATTTGCTCCGTGGGACATCAAGCGAGGACCATGGGGTGCGATTTACCTGTCGGGCTCGGCTGTACCCCGACATGCAGGTGCCAGCCCGTTGGAGCATCTACTGCCATCGGTGCCGCTGGCGCAGAACAAGGCCTCTCCCAGCACCTCCAATTTTCCTCCCCTTGGCCACCAGGGTACCACACATCGCCGACACAGCCACTCGTTTCCGACGCCGCTCCCTAGCTTCGAAATGCCTTCTGCTGAGGACGAAGAGAATGCGGTCGTGCCATGGCTTTTGTACATTGTCCGTAGCGAGAGCGGGATGGTGCGGTTGATGGCGGCACGTCTTGCCACAGTTCTGTTCCGTCTTGGCCTTACAAAGAAGCATCGCGTATCTATGCTATGTTACTTGATGATTCCTATTTTGATTCGCATGCTGGATAAGGATTATGAAGTGACCGCCGATGACGGGGTGCAATATGGGGGCTTGATTCCTTCATCCGAGCGTCTCAGAGAAGAAGCCCCGTTCGTGCTGGCATTATTAGTGATTGATGATCACGAATTGCAGAGACATGCTTATGAGGGAGGCGCTATCAAGAGGTTGTCGCAGCTGTTGAAAGAAACCTACAACCCAGTTCAAGACACCGTCCGCCCCATGTGGCATGCGGACGGTGAAGAGGGCCTGCTGGGCCCAGACACCACCTCCCCAGAATGCCAGCTCGGTCCTCCGGGCTTTTCACCGATCCACTGCCATGTCATGCGATATCGTGAGAACATCCTCAAAGCCTTGGCGGCTCTGGTTCCCTTCAAGGACGAATATCGCAAAGCCGTCTGTGAGAACGGGGTGGTGCCATACATTATCGACTCTCTCAAGCCGTGCTCAGATGAATTGTCGGGGGACACGTCGACTCCAAAGAACACTGTGGCTGATGGCAACCCCACACCCACCCTGCTGGCAGCCTGCGGGGCCGCACGCATGCTCACTCGTTCGGTGAGTGTCCTCCGCACGAGTCTGATTGATGCGGGCGTTGCGACGCCCTTGTTTATCTTGATTAAACACCCCGACATTGAGGTCCAGATTGCAGCGACGCAGGTCATTTGTAACCTGGCTTTGGACTTCAGTCCAATGAAAGAGGTCAGTCAATTGATCATTCGGTTCTTTCTCGTGCACTGACTTTTATCCGCGCATAGGCAATTATCTCGGCCGATGTTCTTCCCATTCTGTGTGAACATGCTCATTCCCAAAGCACAAAGCTGCGGATAGAATCGCTGTGGGCCCTGAAGCATGTTGCATATAACTCGACCAATGATGTAAAGATAAAGATCATAGAAGGACTAGGTGCGGAATGGATCAAACAGGTCATCACCCAGGATCCTACCACTGCCTTAGCCAAGCGCGGAATGGACGAGGAGGCGGACAGCAGCACCAGCGCGGGCATGAGCCGAGCCAACTCGGCTGGAGAGCAGGTAGACCTGTTGAACCCGGTGGAGAGCGGTGGAGACGAGGATATGAAAATGGCCGATACGGTGCCCTCGCACAAAATTAGTCTCGACATGTTCCTTCCGGATGCCACCCGGCGACGCAAGTTGACTTTGCAAGGCGATTTGGACCAGACGACGCGGGCTCGACAGGACGATATTGCGGTCCAGGAACAAACCTTTGACCTACTGCGCAACATCATCTGCGGGCCCGGTGCGTTTGAGATGATCGACCATTTGTTCAAGGAGATTGGGCAGGATCTGCTTCTGGATGCGCTGGCAGACAAGCTGCGGCCGCGTTCCATCTCCCTCCCGCCTCGACGAGATGTACCGACCTCGCGGACGATGTCCGTACCGACGGAGATATTGGTGTCGGTGACGTACGTGATCATCCATCTGGCGGCAGGCCTACCGCGACACCGACAACTGCTTCAGATGCACCGGGATTTGTTGAAGTATCTGATGACATACTTCAACCACAGCCAACGGGATGTACGGATCAACTGTGTGTGGGTGGTGATCAACCTGGTGTATCAGGATGATTCGAGCGACCGGGACGGATGTCGCGATCGAGCGATCCGGATGCGGACGATGGGAGTGATGGATCGGTTGGCCAGTCTGGACGATGACCCCGACTTGGATGTGCGCGAGAGAACCAAAACGGCCCAGGATATGCTGAATTCCTTGACCCATGCATAGCGATGATTCTGTTGGACAGTGGGATGCTGCGGTTGCGGTAGGCGGCGTTGGATGGGACCTTGATGTATAAAGATCTGGAAGTGATGACGATGTAGATCTGTAGCTACAATTATACTCGCACTACAGTTGGTGCTATGCTGTAAAGTTGGGCTTGCTGTGTATGTAGGATTGAGCGCAAATGATTTTTCCTGTGATGCCTTATCTTATCGCGATAAGATAAACAAACAATCGACGTCATTGCTACTCCATCACCTAATTTATGTGCTCTTGTCCCCCTCACTCAATTCTCTCCTCACTTTCGCACAATCTCTCCAAACCCGATTCAAATCCTTATCATGGCACCCGTCCCCATCTCAATTCTCCGGGCTCTTTCCATCACGGACCCCGCCAAAGCCAGCCTGTCCACCTCCGGCCTAGGCTCCGGCTTCACCAGCACCGGCGCCATCCGCGCCACGGTGCCCGGCCCAGACGGCCGCGACGAAGAACGCCGCTACTTCGTCAAGACCTCCGCCGATGGCACCTCCGCGGCAGAGATGTTCCGCGGGGAGTACGAGTCCCTGAATGCTATCGCCTCGAGCGTGCCGGGCTTCTGCCCACGGGCATTAGCCTGGGGGAGCCTGGACGACGACGACGACGACGACTCATCCACCTCACCCCCCAAGAAAAAGAGCTACTACCTCCTAACCGAGTACCTCGAACTCGGCGGCGGCAGCGGCCGTCGCACGAGTGATTCTTCCTTTACCCTCGCGCACCGACTCGCCCAACTCCACTCCACGCCCGCCCCACCGGACCCGGAGACCGGGCGACGACGGTTCGGATTCCCCGTGCCGACGTTCTGCGGGGACACGAAGCAGCCGAACCGATTCTGCGATGACTGGGCGTATTTCTACGCGAATGAGCGGCTGCGCACGATCCTTGAGAGCTCGGAGCGGCGGAATGGGCGGGACGGCGGGTTACGGGAGTTGGTGGAGCGGACGGCGGGGACGGTCGTGCCCCGGCTGTTGGGGAGGGGGCATTTGGGGGGTGGGGAGGGGATTGTGCCTGTGGTGGTGCATGGGGATCTGTGGAGTGGGAATGCGGGGAGGGGGAGGATTGTGGGGGGACTTGAAAGCGACAAGGCCGGGGATGTGGTCTATGATCCCTCGGCGTGCTATGCGCACAGCGAGTTTGAGCTGGGGATTATGCGGATGTTTGGTGGGTTTGGAGCCAAGTTCTTTGAGGAGTATCACAGGTTGGTGCCGAAGACGGAGCCGGTGGAGGAGTATGAGGATCGGGTGAGGTTGTATGAGTTGTATGTTCTTCTGCCTTCGTGTTGATCAATGGGGTTGGATAGGGCTGACTTGCTACAGGTATCATCATCTGAATCATCATGCGATCTTTGGGGCGGGGTATCGGTCGGGGGCTGTGTCGATTATGGAGAAGTTGTTGAAGAAATATGGTTGAATGAGGTGATTGAGGCGATTGAGGCGATTGAGTTAGAGGGAGATTGAGTGATGGCTGTAGTTGACAATGACTCTGTTATAGTTCTGGATTAATAATCTTATCTGATGACACCATCGATTGTCGTCATTATTTATTTCCCTCTTCTCCTCCTTGACCTTCCATTCTGCATCTTCCAACCATAACCATTGATCCCCCAATTGAATTGAGATTATTCCCCTCGTCAACATGCCAGTCCCCGATGCCGATATCCACCCCGAGGCCACTGGCCCCGCCAAAGCTCTAGTCGCCAACCACCAAGCCGAACAGCCCCTAAAGTTCTATGCGGGGTGGTTCTGTCCGTGAGTCTCTCCGTCTAGGCTATCTATCTATTAACTACTACCAATATACTAACTCACGCCTCCCAGCTTCGGTATTTCCCCCACCCACCCATCCACCCACCATCCTACACCCTAACCCCAAGACCCAAACTAAACCAAAACCCCCAGTCCAACGCGTCTGGCTTGCCCTCGAAGAGAAACAGATCCCGTACCAATACATCGAAGTGAACCCCTACCACAAACAACCTTCCTTCCTCGCCCTGAACCCGCGCGGCCTCGTCCCGACCATCACCTCCCCGGATACCTCCTCCACTGCGCGCCCGCTCTACGAGTCCACCGTCATCCTCGAATACCTCGAGGAAGCCTACCCGACGCACACGCCCGCCCTCCTCCCGCAGGACCCGTACCTCCGCGCCCGCGCCCGCATCTGGATCGACTACGTCACCTCCCGCATCATCCCCGCCTTCCACCGCTTCCTCCAGCATCAGCCCCTGCCCTCCTCGTCCCAGGGGGGTAATGGTAATACTGGGGCGGATGAGCTCCAGACCCTCCGCACGGAGTTTCTAGCCACGCTGAAGGAGTTCACGCGGGAGCTGCACCCGCAGGGCCCGTACTTCCTGGGCGAGGAATTGAGTCTGGTGGATGTGGTGCTCGCGCCGTGGGCGGTTCGGTTGTGGGTGTTTGATGAGTTCAAGGGGGGGTTGGAGATTCCGGCGCCGGGGCAGGCGGGGACTGAGGAGGAGGAAGGGGTGTGGGAGCGGTGGCGGCGGTGGGTGGCGGCGGTGGAGGGGAGGAGGAGTGTGAGGGAGACGCTGAGTGAGAGGGACTGGTATTTGCCGATTTATCGGCGCTATGCGGAGGATAAGGCGCAGAGTGAGTTGGCGAGGGCTGTGCGGAAGGGGAGGGGGGTGCCTTGATTTGGTTCGGGGACGAGGGGTATGGTGGGTGTGGTATGTGCTTGGTGTCTACTAGGTAGTCTAGGTCTAGGGCTAGATGGTATAAGACTTGTGGAACAGGTGAAGGAGATATCATTGGGACTTATCTATCTAATCAAACAGTGGAAATCTCCCTCCCAGCCAGGCTTACTCTTGCGCGGAAACCGTTTGGCTTCGATGATTACCACCTTCTGCCAACGGCCCACCACATTATGCTTGTGAAGCACATTGGCCGTGTATCTGGCCCTCTGGTGTGTGTATGACTCTCGTTTCACGCCATCACCAGCGTGGAGGTGAAAAGTTAGTGTTGCGGAATTCTGAGCCAGCAGTGGTCGCACTGCTTGCTCATATGGGTGATGTCCATTCTGCACAGGATGAATAATGTGTTCGCATGAATGGGCATCCTAGAAATACTGGAGTTCTCAAACCCCTCACATCTTGTGTCCAATGTCAGAAGTTCGTCGCGCGGAAAGCCAGCTAAAAGTGTACTACTGTAAGTGTCACACAACCAGTAAGTTGAAGACTTTCGAACCCGGTTGAGCTGTACTCCAGTAAACTCCCAGCTTGTCTCCTGGCAAGGGCTCAGTAGTTCATCTGTACATCGCTATCGATTGATTATGGACATTAGCAAAGATGTGCGCTTTGTGCAGGTTGCTTAGCCGTCATAATGGTTCCCGGGGTATGTAGGAGTACTGCAGCGTTGCATGGTAACCTTATCCTCGAGAGCATAGACTCCTATACATCATGCAGACCTCTAGCTGCCCTGTTCATTGGCAGCCATAAGAAGCAGGGCCAGATGCCGAGGCAGGCGGAACTGTGGAGATGATCGTATGAGACTCGCTGAGTCCATGATATATATGCAGGTACAACTTCGTAGTGGTTGCAAAAGGACCACAACCGGTCGCTAATCCCTGCGCCGTTGTACAGGATCATGCACGGCTCAAAGCTTAGAAGCTGTACCATTGCCAATTCGATGGGGTTTTCAGGTTTGAATTGTAACCTGTTCAACAGCCATGTAGCAGTGCAGCAGTGGTAGAATGCCGGATAAAAGAGGCTTTCTGGCTCAATGTTGAGCGAGGCGAGCATCCAAGACACCGCCAATCCTTGATAGGTTCCACTTCTAGTAGACATTCTTACAGGCTTTCATGTAAATGAGCCATGTTCGTCATCCCATCGCAAACCATAACCAGGTTTTCATTTGTCATAGCACCTAGTGCTGCAGAAACGAAATCCCCGAGGGGGGACTGATGTTGTTTCAGGTGCCCAGAAGGTCAGCCGAGCAACGAAGGCCGCGGCATCATTTTGTTTGAAGTCTGTGGCACTCTCACGCAGAGAGGAAGTACGTTAAAAGCCAAATCACGCAGCTGCAACCGCCATCCCATTCGAAAGGGATCGTTTGAAGGGGCCAGCGTTGCGTTCGGTAAATTCCATCGGATAGGTCTTAGTTCCTTCATGAAGACCTTTGGCTCTGCGGATGGAGGCGTCCGAGATAGTAGGATAATCCCTCCATTGCTATCTCTCGGACTTTGACTCTTGCTCCGCCTGCGGAACGGCAGGGGCCCGTATAGAAACTTTCCATACATCTCAATGCAGACACAAAAGCTGCCCAAGCTTAAGGCCGCTCCGTTCGATTTTCGAATCCACGGCCACGCACCGAATCAACAACCTCATCGGGCTGCTCTGGCACAGGGATGGAGGGGTAAATAGGAATCGACACTGCGGATTCCCCGGATAGAGCTCCGTAGAATCCGTCTGGTGGGTGATCACCCCCGCATGAACGTGTGGTAGCTCAGCGCGTTCGACCGTGACCATTTCTCTCATGAAGTTCTCTACCTAACTACTCTTTAGCAGCTGCTCAACATGCCTATCAAGCTGTTAAGTCAGTCAAGCCCACGCATGATGTTGATTGAACTCACTCTAAGCGTCGCCATATTTTTGCCGAAGCAATGACAGAGCAACCAAAGATATCAGGGGGGGGGGTGCTGGAGGAACAGAGGAGAGACATGGGCGAGACACCCTTGTATGCAAGGTACTGGTCTGTGTCCCTCTTCTGCAAGCGGTCCTGGAGCGTGGCGAAGTCTCCATTGCAGTCCTCGAGACTTCGATGAGTCCGACGTGGACAGGTATACCGATGGCCTGTGCAAAACGCTAACGAGCTTCGTCAGATATCGACTCTGAATTCAGTGCTCGATAGCTTGTTTTCCCTGTGATTATGGGTTGATATCCGCGGCCGCACTACTGCATCGATCCAAGCTTTCTTTCCTGTGGCATGAGTTAGAGCCATGCAGTAGAATAGGCCTGAATGACGCTCACTGCGTCAAAATTGATGCTTGAGGACTTAGACGCCGGTCTATGGTTGATGAATACCACAATTGTAATTTGGGGTATTTCTTCCAGTGTGTGTGACTACTACGAGCCTATTGGGCTTCCTCATGGGTGCTGGCCACTGAGTAGAGAAGCAGATCGGATATGAAGTGTCTCTCTGGCGCTGAGAGGGCTTCTGAATCAAGATCTTCGTCTAGATGATAAGTTTATTGCTGCATAACATGGTGCGTGGCCGTGAGTATAGTAGAGAGAGAAGAAAGGACGATGAAGAAGGAAGAAGGAAAGCTGAAAGAAGGAAAGATAGAAGAAATGAAGCTTGGTAGATGTGAGACTTAGAAGATGGAAGAGAGGAGAAGGAGAAGGAGATCGGACAGTTTTGAGAAAAGATTGGTGATTGCGGTGGAAGCGAAATGGGTGAAGAGATTGATCCAGGCTTGGTGGTTGTGAATAAGACAATAGCCATGGGAATCGATAATCTAGGATGGGAATGGTTCTACCGTATTCACAAGGGTGAGTTTGTGACACGCAGTGGTTGCAAGTTCTTGGATAACCACATAATCAATTGAATATCAGGGTTATAGGTGAGTTGGTCCAGAATCACAGCAGTTGATTGAATTATCTAAAGCCTCTGGGAGGTGTAGCCTTCAGGTAAGCACTCTATTATCAGGGCAAGATGTTGGGCACAAGCTAGTTCGATGGCAAACCATACTAAGCCTTCACTCTCAAAGAGAATGCTCCCGTCAATCTCAAGTCGCGAGAGCTTGCTCCAACATAGACCTGGTATTTCCCAGAAGCAACAAGCCATTGCTGAGCAGCCACGTCCCAGTATGAAATGTCGCGACGACGCAGGTTGAACGTAACAATAGACTCCTGTCCTGCCCGTAGTTCAACACGCTCGAATCCGCGGAGCTGACGAACAGGTTGATCTGCGGCATCTGGGAAGCCAAGGTACAGCTGGGGAACCTCCGCACCTGCAAGCGTGCCATTATTGGTGATGCGCGCAGAGACGGTTCCCACAACGTCCCATAGATCACTGTTTCCACCGACGGTATGGTTACCTCGGGGAGCTCTGGTCGTGGCAGAAGGGGTCTTGATGGCGAGATCCGAGTACTTGAAAGTGGTGTAAGAAAGACCATGACCGAATGGGTATCTGGGAGTAACGTTCTTGGCGTCGAAATAGCGGTAGTCAATGTAGACTCCTGTGGATGCAGTCAGCGTTTATAGGCCAAAGAGCACCGATACCCGAAGATCAACGACGACTTACCCTCAGTAAAGTTGCATTGAGCAGTGTAGCAGAGCTCCACATTGTAATCACTCTCGTTCTTGGCGATAGTGTGGATAAGACGGCCGGAAGGGTTCACATCACCATAGAGAAGGTCCACAATCGCGTTGCCCGACTCTTGGCCCAGAATAGATCCGTAGAGAACTGCCGTCACGTTGTCGTGCTCAATCCACTGGTCCAGCAGTCGGGGCCCAACGGTGTTGACCACAACCACGGTATTATTACAGTTGTCTGCAACCGTGTTCACCATGGTGTCTTGATCCTCGTTATACAGCTCAGTGCGGTCGGCACCCTCACCTGACAGAGCATTGATGAAAACGAGGCAGACATCCGAGTTGGTAGCATAATTGGCATAGGAGGGTGACACGGCGGTACTGTCAGTTCCTTCTTGAATCAGCGTGGATCCTCCACTAGAGCTATAAGTATCGTTCATAATCCATCGCATCATAGTTGCATCTTGCGCAGCTCTGATAGTTAGGGCAACGTAAGGGGTAATCACGTAAGGAACAGATGCCTGTCCAGAGCCTGTGCCGGTGGCTAAATGTCCTTGGTAGGTCGGGCCAGACCCTTCGACGTTCATGGCAGCATTCGGACCTCCCATGACCGGGCCAGCATGGGCTCCAAAAACACTCATCACACGGGGCTTTTTCAACGGAAGAGTGCCTTCATTCTTCAACAAAGCCATCGACTTGGCTCCGTTCTCGCGGATCAGCTTGGAATGATTGCCTCGTACGTCCACATAGGCATCCTGATCTTGCATCGCAGGTTGAAGGCCGTTGTCCAGATTGACATGGTAATACCCAATAAGGTTTCTAATGGTCATGTCGTTCAAACGGGCCTCGGTGAGGGTACCATTCGACAGAAGAGTCTTCATTGTAGAAGTGCTCCAGATGCTGCTCGAGCCATAGTCCTCGCCGCCTAATGCTGATCCTTCGGCGCTGTTTTGCCCATTCATGTCGGGCCAGACCAGACCCGGAAAGCCAAGCTCTGTCTTGAGCGTCTTCATCAGGAGATCCGAGTTTTCGCAGCTGTAAGTGCCATTGACTTTGGTCATTGCGCACATGACGGCGCCAAGACCATTCTTCACTGCATCGTAGAAGGGCCAGAGGTATGTTTCGTGCAAGGTTTTGTCGTCTGCGTTGGAGGAATAGGGTGCCGAGTCGGAGTCCGAGGAGACAGTAGCACGCCGACTGAATGAACCGGAAGACTGAGGCCCAGGCGATGAAGAGTTGGAACCACCAAAGCCCATTCCCCCGGAAGGCATTCCTCCTCCACTTGCACCACCGGGGCCGCCGCCGCCACCACCACCGCCGCCGCCGCTGGAAGTCCGGTTGGTTTCTTGCTCGTAAAGAAGAAAGTGCTAGCAAATGGCGCAGTTAGAGTCAGCAAGCCCATAGTTACATTGTCCATGGATCATCTTACTTTGCCACCGGGGATCACTCCAGCATCGACATAACCCTTGGTAGACAGGCCAGTAGCCAGGCCATTTAGATAGGGATCAGGGCCGAATCCCTCGACATTACGACCACCCCAAGGAGTACGACCCATTGGCTGAGAAGTAGGACCAGCAACCACCTGAATGCCTTTGTTGTAGAACTCCGACCCAACTGCTTTGGCTTGAGCATATATGGCGTCGCGGTCCCAAGTCATAGCCAGAGCGGAGGACAAGCTGAAAGCAGAGACAAAGAAATAGTTCTGAAGTCCCATATCCCCATCAAGGAACTCTAGGGCACTGAAGTTACCATTGGACGAGCTAACACTGCTACCGGTGATCAAAGCCAGCTTCTGATCAGTAGTCAGTCCTGCAACGAAGGCAGATGCCTTTTCATATGCAGCCTCCCAGTCTCCCAGCGTTACTATTCGTTGTTTAGCATACTTTCAAGAATCATGATACATGGCCAGTCTACTTACCACCATTGGCCTTGAGTAGACCCGATGTTGAAGAATTCGTGGCGCTTGTCAAGCCAAGCAAGGCTGCCGTTACGGCAAATGAGATGAATCTCATCTTACCAGAAGAATATAAGAAAACGAAATCAATGAATGACTTTAGTCAGATGGTAGTATATGAATGAAAGAGCGAGTATGGCCAGCCAGTGGGAATGTGTAGAGATTCCTGACATCTTCTACGTAGGCACATGGCTCCATTTATAGTCCACATCTCTCGCAGTCTGCGTCAACCCTTCTTGTCCTCAAGCACTGTGCTTGTATGACAAAAAGAGAGGACGTTCCGACATTCGTGGTATGAAGTCCCTGGGTATTACGACGCGAGGCCCACCAGCAGTTTATCTGAACAGGTAATGTTCAAGGGCATCATTTCTTCCTATAGCCGATGCGGCAGTCGCAGGGTCGCGACTCGCAACATCTAGTCTGCGCTTGACGCCAAGTCGGATAAGCCGAGCGCGCGCGGGTGGTAGAAGCCATAGCAAAACGCCGAGACAAGGGGCTGAGCACGGCAGTCTGGCTTGTTACGGCATCCCGAAACCCCAGGTGACGCGTCACATCCAGTGATTGAAACCCACCGGCTCAGTCGCTTCTTGAAGTGAGCGCATCGACATCTTAGAAAGATAGGCTATGCTCTGAGATTCTCGCTGTTATTGGAGGTTGGACCGCAAAATTCCCATTAGTCAGCGGAAGGTATGTCGCATTAGGGTCAGGGACCAACAAGCCTCGGATGACCCGAATCGTGTACTGCCAGGTTCGCAATAGTATCATATCGATCCACGCGAATGAAGGGTTTCAAGTGAAATAAGCATAAGGAGCTAGTGAGCTTGTTCCGTGTTCATAGATAGGGCTGGCTAGTTTAGGCTGCTGGCGACCACCCACATTGTTCCGAAGCACCGTGTCTCAATGGTCTATCGTCTCGTCATTGTCCTAATTGAAGGGACGAGGAGATTGCTCAGGGTCGATGTCATAGCCCCTTGATGTGTCCTGCTGCTGTCGGGAAATCCTGTTTATCGTGTACTGCAAATTGCAGCAGTAAGTGCAGGCACATAATAAGATTCAATTGCTCAATGAGTCTTGGAAGATGTCGGTCAACGGTCCTTGGAGACCGAGGAATGGCCCTGGTTCGGCAAGCCCATTAGCATAAGTTCTAGGATGCATGAAGAAACAGGTAGACTCCAGCTTGAGCTTGCTATAATAGACACGCCAATGAAATGCGCGTAGTTCATCATGCACGAGAACAAGCTGGTGGGTCAAAGATGCATATCCAGCTAACATATAGATGAACTTAAGCTTGTAAGTTACTTGGTGACTTGTTGGAGAAACGAAGTAACCGAAATTGGCAAGACAACCTCTATTCACGTGACCAGCGCATCCGCCGCATCAACATCATCGGTCGTCATCCAGCGATTTCCAATTGCGACGAGTCCTTATAAAAGCGTTGCTATGGACTTACTTTACAGACGACGGACGGAGTCCCTTTTGTCTGAATTACTTTGACGATAACCGCTTCCAAAATCCACTGGCTCACTGAGATCCGATCCGCTGTCAAAGTCACACTCTGTGCCTGGAGAACCAGACAAAAGTAGATATGTCACTGCAACGATTGTACCGTGACGAGAACAGTGTGAACCTCCAAGAATAAGAAATGGATCGTTCTCCAGGTGGGAAAATTTACAAGGGGAAAGAAGATACAAGAAAGTAACCCGTGATGTTGCTTTTGGGGGGGGGGTGGAAAGTTGATTAATGCAGGTCTGTTCTCCCCTCCCCCCCTCTCTGTCTGTCTCTTTCAACCACCA